CCAACGGGGGTACCCTGACGCTGCGTGCTGTGCGGTCCAGCATGTGCCATGACGGCGGCGTAAGCGCAGAGTCAGGCTGGCCGGCGTGCAGTCGCCCCACCCCAACTCCACCCCTGGCCAACCCTTTTGGCCGGTCTGCATCGGCCCTCAGTCTCTAAAAGGTTCACCATCGTGTCTTAGCCTAACTTAGGGCCTTTGCAGACTGCCAGAAATAGTGCAAATTGAGTCCACTTTAAAGGTTAGGGTTAGTTCTAGGGAATCATGGGAATTGTTTTTTTTTTCTGAGACATTGAGCCTTCTCTGTCAGAGTGCTCTGGTGCCACAATAAAATACAATTCCCATGATTCCCTAACCCTAACCCTTAAAATGGACTCAATTTGCACTATTTCTGGCAGTCTGCAACCCCCCTTACTTTGCAGAAATGTTATGAGGTTAAAAACCAAAGTCAACAACCACATATGCCTCCTTGAATTCTTCACAGAAAAGGCTATAAATGAAGCTGCCTTGAATTTGAGTCTCCCCAATTTGGGGGAAGGAGGTGGAACATAAATAAATCTAGTCACAATAATGATTAGCTGCATTCAAGCCATGGGTGGTTGAACCCGTGGATAACGAATCCATGGATACAGTGGGCAAACTATACTTTAAAAAAATTACTATTTCCTCCAGCTCTTCCCAGAAGATCCAGAGCCCTCTGTTCCAACATTGGGTGGCTATTTAAAACATCCTGCTGTGCCACTTGGCACCAGTGCCACTGCCATGCATCGCTCACTCTAAGGTCAGACCAGGGAACCACATCACTGGGCACAAGGGATTTTTTGCATCCCTCAAAGTGGGGGATTCACCAAAGAAAGGGGTTTGTAGAAAAAGCAAACTGGGGGGGGGGGGGGGGGGAGAGAGAGAGAGAGAGAGAGAAAGCAACAATTCACCTAAATCTGGGAACAGCTCCTTTAGCCAGAAGGTCTGTTTTAATTTCCAAACAGGAAAAAATGTCTGTTGGAGTTGGAGCAACAGTGTCGGAGCAATAATAAACATACCAAGGGTTTACAAAGGGGTCCAACTGGATTTTGCTAAATAACGCTTTTGGCTTTAAATTAGTCATTCCAATCTGACCAGCCGCCACAGAGCACTGAATCAGCAAGTGGGTGGAAAACAGAATGCGGTTTAGCTTTCAGTTATATCTGAGTTTCTGTCCTTGAGTTAGCTGAGAAACCATGGGATTCAGTTATTCTGCCAGGCTTCCAAGTTTCACAACATCCTGTGGAGATGTTGCTTGGATTTAACCCTGTTTGTTAATGCAGCCTCTGCAAAAAGAAAAGGGTCGCCTGGGATATGGATGTTGAGTGGAAAGAATGAGGAATGGGATGAAAGCCAAATCTGAATGATTGCCCTGCCCTGCCGTGATTAAAGGGCAACTCCAACAAATTTCATAAACACTGGCTTCTCAGTTCCCCCTGAAAAGCCCAAAGCCTCTTTAGACTGGAAAATTATTTGCTATTACTCCCAGAAACGCAACAGGGGAAGCTGTCTTTTGAACAAAGGCAAAAGCCTCCTTCTTCCACTGCGGTCCTCACAGATGTTCACAATGTGTGTGCAACTGCATGCGCATGCTTTCAAGTCGCCTGTCGATTTAGGGCGATTTATTGTGAATTTTCCTAGGGTTTTCACAGGCAAGGAATGGCCAAGCTGGGAATCAAACTCTGGTCTCCAGAGTCCTAGTCTGATGCTGAAACCACTACGCCACAATGGCTCACCCAGGAGGCTATATAGCAGTACCTAAAATAGTAGAATTCCTTTCCAAGGAAAGTCAAGTTGGCTTCACCTCTTTTGCGCTTCTGCCAAACACTGAGTCTGCATGGTTTTAGATTCCTCTAAAACAAGGGTTAGGATGGTGGACTGTTTTGATTCTGTGTTTTCAGAACTGTTTGTAATCTTTTGATCAATTTGTAAATAATATTTTATCCATATCCTCCAGCTGTCCAGATTTGTCAGAGTCCTGATCGATCTTCAGTCATCCCACTTTTCAGCTGTTTTTAAAATGTCTCACTTTTTCTCCCTTCCTCCTGATTTATTTTAATTTATTTTAATTCCTGAATCCAAACTAAATCCAAAGTGCAAAAGCAATTTGCATTCAGTTTATTCAGCAGCAGACAGAGAAGGATGCAGAATCTTGCCCTTCCCAGTAGACTCAGGCAAAAGCAAACTGCTGCAGCCTATTTTAACTTCATCATTAACACTTTTTGCCATCTTGACTACACTCTGATGCTACTTGGCTATACATGTCCCAGTTTTCATCAGTGTAACATTGAAAGGTATGCTTATCTTTTAAAAATCTTTATGCATTGCCTTAGGGGTGCTTGGCATGCTAAGAGCTGATAAACATGCTATTAAATAAATGAAATAAATGTCATGTAGAACCAAGACACAGAAGCAAGGTGATGTTAAGTTGTTGTCGTTGTTTTTAATTAGTTCTCTGAATTGAAAAAAAAGATGACTTTTGAGAACAGCACTTAAAGCCAGAAGATTAAAGCTGTGGATCCAAAAATTCCTCCTACATTTTTAAAGAAAACAACTGGAATACAGACCATTTTAAAATGTGAGTTACAACACAGCAAATCTGTCCCAGTTTTCACTCTTGTCTAAAGGATGACCAGGTTGTGGCCATTCAGACAGTTAAAACTGTTTTTATTGTTATCAGCTTTCAGGAAAAAAGCTACTTGCTGGCATCGCAGTATTGGTTACAGCTGAGAGCTGGGCTATGACTTTGGAGAACAGGGTTCGAATCCCCGCTCAGCCGTTAAACCCACTGGGTGACCCTGTGCAAGTCACACACTCTCAGCCTCAGAGGATGGCAATGGCAAATCCCCTCTGAAAAAACTTGCCAAGAAAACCCCATGACAGATTTGCCTTGGGCCACCATAAGCCAGAAATGACTTGGAAGCACACAGCAGCAATAAAACTATCTGTGTATTAGTGTTGCTGGATAAAAGAGACAATGCTAGGTGTTTAAAGACATTTAGGATGAGTCAACATCTCTTTCCAGGAAAACCAGATTCAGCATTAGGGCTGCTCCTGCTGCCATTAGGGCGAATAATTCGCATCCGGGACCCATGAGCAAACCATAAAATGAGGCCATCTGAAAGTCACATCTCCAGACTCACAAGGCCAACAATGAGCAAGTCAGAAGATCAAGGAAAATAAAAACAGGCCCAACAGCATTCCAGACCTCTTACATCTGCAAAGACAAAATGTGTTCTTTATAGGCTGCCTCTATAGCCTTTTTAAAAGAAGTCTGGTAGAGGTGAATAGAAAGGTGTGCCCCAAAAGAAAGAAAAGACTGCACTTTGCTAGACCAATTCTTTTGACTCAGGACCAAAAAGGGTGATAGGAGCACCATTGGAGGATATGACTTTGGGTTTGGGTATTGTATATGATTTTACGGTTGTGAGCCGCCCTGATTGGGTTTCCAAAGGGCGGGATATAAATAAATTTTATTATTATTATTATTATTATTTATATGAGACAGAACAGTCTGGGATCAATAACAGATCAATGTGCAACAGCCACATGCATGTAATCCTCCTGCCAGGTATTTCATTTCAAAGATGTGCAAAAAGCATCACTCAGGCTAATACAAACTGAGCCTAGGATTTCAGACGGACCAGAAGCTAAATTTGTGGAGAGGGGGAATAGTGATCAGACTGCCTTTTATCAAATGCAAAGTGCATTTCTCATTGCGCCACACCCATGCCGAATCTGAGCTTGGAAAAGAGCCTTTTTGGACTACAATTCCAAAATCCTCCTAACCTGAATGGCAGGGGGAATTCTGGAAGCTGTAGCCCAAGAAAGCAAGCTCTCCAAGCTCTGTCCTGAATGCAAGATCAAAAGAGGACATTGGATTGCAGACCACTTTAATTTTCAATCTATTCTTTTTAAAAACAACATTCAAGCAAAGGCAGTCAAGCATAATCGATTTAATGCATGGCTAGTCAAACGTCCAGGACTACAGGGCATGAAACCTTTCCCTCTTAGGCAATATTTAAGCCTGGGAAATGCCATTTAAAGCTGACCTATAAAGACGAAAAGGCAAGGAGACTGCCACAGATGCGTAGTAACCTCCTGCATTAAACATTTACATTCCCTTTGTTCATCTGCAGCCTAGCTTTGTTGTTGCTGTATGCCTTCGAGTCGTTTTGCTAAGGCAAACCTATCACAGGGTGTTTCTTCTTGATAAGATTTGTTCAGAGAAGGGTTTGCCTTTGCCTTCCTCTGAGGCTGAGAGAGTGTGACTTGCCCAAGATCATCCAGTGGGTTTCAATGGCCCTGTTTTTTCTATATGTATCTATGTATGGATGTATGTATCACTCAGCACAGGAAGGGTAGAGCCAAGTCTCCTAAGACAAAGTGATTTTAACAAAAACCAGAGTCGCCTCTTCAGAGATCCAGTGAGATATCCAAAAGAGATGGACCTAGTCCACAAAGCCTTATGCCTTTTAAATCAACCCACAATTCTGTATTGTTTGCCACCAAATGTGAGGCCCTTCTCCTCTCCCACCACTACGGCATCAAATGTGGGGATCTTCTAGATGCCCTTATGGTCCCTGTGCAAGATTTTGTCTAATCCCACCACTGGATAACACTACCCTTGAATAACTGGTGCCAGGACAGACACCCTATGTCTAACCCTTATGCACCATTCTCAGAGGCATAAATGTATATAATACAGAAATTACATGCATATAATGAATAAGTACATTAATTTTCAGAAACTCAACATACAGTTACTTACTTAAAACATCTAAAACTTGATTGACCCTAACTAACTCTAAGATCTCTCACTCACATTCCTAACTTCTACACTCATATCTCTCACTGTATAACCTTTCAAAGACATGGTTATGGTCTGGAAAATCAGTGTGCAAAGGAATCTTTATAGTACCTTTAAGACTGAAAGATTGTAGTATAAAGGGAATCTGAAAAAGTAGCCTAAGTCTAGGAGAGCCTGTGTGGTGTAGTGACTTGAGCGCTGGACTATATGACTCTGGAGACCAGGGTTCAAATCCCAGCTGGGTCATGTAAACCCACTGGGTGACCTTGGGCAAGTCACACTCTCTCAGCCTCAGAGGATGGCAATGACAAACCCCCTCTGAAAAAACCTGCCAAGAAAAACCCATGATAGGTTTGCCTTAGGGGCACCCTAAGTCGAAAATGACTTGAAGCCACACAACAATAGGTCTACGAAAGCTTATGCTACTGGCTTTTTTTTCTTTCAGTTAGTCTGGAAGGCACTACAAGATCTTTTTGCATTCTGCCTTTTAAAGCCATCCAAGATTTTTTAAAATAAATGTTTACCCAGACCAAGAGAATGGAGTGGCAAAAAAACCCCTCAGGCCCATGCCAAGCGAGAAGTATTATTCCAATTTATGGATTCATTCTTTTAAAGGTGATCATGAAAAGCTTGGGCACATGCTTTTTGCAAAGACTTAGGCCCTGATGTGGGCATGTGCCTTTTTTTAAAACCACTTTTGCATTTGTCACCCCATTATTTCTGTGTGTGTGTGTGTGTGTGTGTGTGTGTGTGTGTGACATTTTCAAAGAGACCGCCATGTGAGTGTCTTTCAGGATAAAAAGGAGAGGCACATGTTAGAGTGATCTAGTTTTGGAGGAGCTCTGGGGGGCATTTCAATCCCCTTCTTCAAATGCCCAGATGGGGAAACAGTTGCTAGCTTTTTGCAAAAAAGCAATGAAGGGGAAGCCAAGGTTTGCTAGTGCGCTGCCATCTCCTTTTTTTCTTTTCCCGCAGCATGGAAGCAAGGCAAGCACATTGCTCTCTCTTTCTCCCAAGGGCTCTTTTCTTTCCTCCTCTTGGGTTGGCAGTGCAGGCTGAGAAAGCTGTTCTCTGCCAAGAAAAGGAGGAGGAAGAGGAGGAGGAGAAAAACCAGAGGCTGTGAGAAACGAGAAAATGCTCTACTGATGTCATCTCGAAGGGAGGGCCATGCTTGCCACACACGCCATCCTCTGCTGAACCCGCCTGTTGCCAAGCCATCTGAGAGCCAACCAGAGCCATCGTCCAGCCCCAAATGACCCTTGAACTTCCTACCAGAAACTTCCTGCTGAGGTTTTTTTTTTTTTTTTTGAAATGGGTACACTGTGCAATGCAGTATATGTCTGTCGGCTATGCGGCACAAAGGAACAGCCATTTTGTGACAATCCCAGACCTGCAGCAAAATGCTGGTTTTGTCTCCCCCCCGGCCCACTCTATGCCCCTTCTCCTCTCCCCAAATGTCAAAGGCACTCCAAAGTCAAGAAAGGCTAAGGTGGTTCAAGGCTGGCCGTTCCACCTCTCCTTGCCTTTCATTGCTTTTGTTCAGTTTCCATCTCCAATCTTCCTCGATACGAGGAGTGCTTCATAAAATGGCTGCCTCTAGCCTGCATGCTATGCTCCCTCTGCACAGAGAATCTGCAGCACGCAGCTCCCCTGGCTCCCTTTCAAGGAGCAGCTGCTCAAGGATCCCAGCTTGAAAGTATTGCAAAAGTGCTTTTTAAATATTCTGCACTTTCTAATATTTATACGTTGCAAAGCAGATAGGTTCATATAAACACAGGCGTAATGGAAAATTTAGATAATGCTGATTCCAAACAGCACAAAGCGACTAGCTAGTTTGGACCATATTCCTCAGATGTTTGAGATGAATGGCCCAATACCTGGTATCTCTCTCATGGATTTCAAGAGAACTTGCTTCTAAGTAACAGTACAAGTCTTACTAAACTTGGGCTTTTAGTCCTCTTTTTTTGGAAGTATTTAGGGTTGAGTTGTATGACTGCAAACAGGAATGTCATGTTGGATCAATACCACATTTTCACTTCCAAGGCCCACAGCGGAGTTGAACAACATGTAGTCCTCCAGATGTCACTAAACCACCATCTTCCTACCCCATTGGTTATGCTGCGAAGGCTGATGGGAATGGCAGTCCAACAATATCGAGAGGCCAAGGGATGCTCACCCCTGGTTCACAATCACACAGAAGCTATTTCTTAGGTGTCCCCATTGTTTCAAATATGAAATATAGACAGAACAGCCATAGCCTTTTTGGTGGTGGCTCCCCACATATAGAATTCCATTCCCAGAAGGGTGCGTTGACAACAGGTGAAAAACTCTCTTTTTTTAAATGTATCACAGACCTTTCTATTAACATGGAAAGCCTGCAAATTGTTTGAGTTTAATGGGGCTTGCCCCTATATAAAATACTTTTTGATTGTGACTAATTTTTTATTCTTTTTTAGTACTATGGAAGGAGTACTACCAGATGTTACTGGACTGTAACTCCCAGCATTCCTCAACACAAGCTATGCAGGTAAAACTGCTGGGAACTGTGGTCCAAATTCATCCAAATGGCTGCATGACGCCCACCACTGTTTTATATATAGTTTTGGCTTCATATTTATACTGTAAACTGCTAAGAAAGTTTTCATACCACGTGCAATAGAAATATAATGAGTTAATGATCCATATGTACCTGAGGAACAATGACTTTAATAAGCACCTTGTATAAAAGCTATAAAGTTTCTTTGTGGATTTTTTTTAAAGAAGAAAGAATTTCAAAGGTATAGTGTCTGTGCCATAACCTTGACAGGTTTGGTTGTAAAGTAAATTGGCACAGCTTTTCATTCAATATTCCTGATGGATTTAAAAAAAAAAAAGCATTATCATCTCAAAACATTCATGGTTTTGCTACATTGTCCACTTCTTTGAGATAAAGAGGTGGGAACCTTTGTAATTATGTAAATACTTCAAGGAGGATGAAACCAGAAGAACCTGTAACTGATGTAACACATGACCAGTGTTCAATGCCACCTTTGAGCAAACTTGAATTTTGATGATTTACCCCATCCGGTAGATGCAACATTTAAGAATGGAAGAGCAAATTACTCCAAAATTGATCATCCAAAGACAATCTCACTTTTAAAAAGGGTTAACACAGGAATTTCTCTGAGAATAAGACATGTTCTTGATGGAATAAGTCCTTATAAATAAAAGCAGGCTGAGGAAACATTGGGCCTCCCAGTATGGCTGGACCTCCAACTCCTAACAGTCCCTGTCAATGTGGCTAATGATCAAGCATGATGGGAGATGTGGTTCAGCAACTAGCAGACTACAAGTTCGTTGTGTGCGTGTGTGTGCCTTCCAAGTCTCCAGTTGACTTATGGCCACCCCATCGCAAGGAATATTCAGAAGTGGTTTTGCCAGTTCTTCAGACCCTATAGCCATGGTAATCTAGAATATCAATAAGCAGAGGGCTCTTGTAACACCTTTGAGATTAACTAAGAAAAAAGAAGTTATAGCATGAACTTTTGTAGGCTTAGTCTACTTTCTCCATGTATCTCAAGAAGTAGACTTAAGGGTGCATCTACACTGTAAAAATAATTCACTTTGACACCACTTTAAGTGCTATGGTTCCATCCTATAGGATACTGGGATTTGTAGTTTTACAAAGCCTGTCACCTTCTCTGATGAAGAGTGCTGGCGGCTCACAAAACTACAAATACCAAGAGTCCGTAGGATGGCGCCATGGCAGTCAAAGTGGTGTCAAGCCGCACTATTTCTTCTCCCAACGTCTACGAAAGCCCATGCTACAACTTCTTTTGCTCCATTAGTCTCAAAGGTGCTACAAAGGCTCTACCTCATAGGGTTAATATGAGGATGAAATGGGAAGGAGGAAAGCCGTGCGGACTGCTTCATACTTGCTGAAGGAAAAGTGGGATATAAATGTAAGTAATGAATGAATAAATCGCATTGCATCAGGTGGAGAGTGCCAGACTCATCCCTCTCTTATGGAGAGATTCTCCACTTCCCCCAATCCACCATCACAACCACACATTTCTCCCCCAATCAACAGTCGACCTGCTGTCAAATTAGCTTCCTGGACCTGCCCCCAAACCAGAAAGGAAGTTACAAACAGGAAGTGGGTAGAACTTCCAGGTTGGGTTCCTAAAAGTCATTTACCTAGAGACACACCTCCTCCATGTAGCAAAAGGAAATACAGTAAAAGGCATATTAGACACAACACAACACAACACCCAACTTGCAGCTCAAGAGGGAAAGAAAAAGGAACTTCCACAAAAGGAAACCATTTACATAGCAATTTGCTGTTTTCCCACAGTATACATGAATGGATAGTTATTAGCAAATGTACTTCTGATGAGGAACAGGAAAAGATGGGGAATGGGCATTTTTATTTTTAATTCAGGTTAACATCTCGCTGGATGCGAACATCTCGCTGTTAAATACAAGCTAAATACATCATCTGTTACCAAGAAAGCAAAAAGATCATGCTGGGGTGGATATACAAATAATAGACCCAAGGGAAGAAAAGGGGTAACAACAAAAAATGAAAGAGATGGTTAACCAAATCTTACTTCTAATTCAACTCTATTTTTCACAGCCTTTATTTTGAGCTTTGTATTCCAAAGAGGAATGTTTAAATCCCCCTTTGTTCAGCAAGAGCCATTATGTTAATAAAAAGCATTCTTTTCAATCCACATGGATTATTAGTTTTGTTAGTTTCAAATCAACTTTTTGTCCAAAGTCAGCCATTGGACTTTTATAATTGAATAACAGAATTGTTTCTAACAGATGAAAATTATTTAGAAGAACAAAGCTTGTCAACAATATATTATTATTAACAATAAAACACATTATCACAATCTGCTGCTAAATCAGTTGAGGGTTTCAATGAAATATACTGCACCTCCATTGCAATATTTTGCATTTTTTAAGTCTCCGGTATCTTAAAAATATTTAGCATACCACTGGAATTGCAAGACATCCTTAATTTTCTATTAAGGGGTGTTGCTTCAAATTTCATAAAATCTGGAAATAATTCATACACTTGGAACAAGGGGCAAGATGCATATTAGTTTCCAATTTATAAAAATCCAAAATATTTTTTAAAAAAATGTTTAGGTGGCAAAACAGAGAAAGATCAGAAAAAGTAGCATTTAATTTAGGAGGGGCTCACTGGCAGCTTTCTTTTGATACTGTATTAAAATAAAAAGCATCAAAATTAAACTATA